TAGATAGATAGATAGATAGATAGATAGATAGATAGATAGATAGATAGATAGATAGGCGGGAATAAGAGATAGTAGCAATCAGGCAACCAACCAGAAAGAAATACAATTGACATGTTCTGAATCATTGAGAGGGATAAGTAAGAGGTTAATGGGTTCCCACACAAGGATTACAGGGGCTTTTATTGCTTGGCTCATTCATGTGAGCTAATGATGTCTCTTACATATTATCTGATAGCATCAAAGTGATAAACATCATAACAACGGGCCATTATAAGTGGCTCATCTGCATCTTTTACTGTGAAAGATTTTGCTTTTCCATCGGTCAGTACAATGTCATATAGGTAGTCCTGTATTTCATGCTCAATCAGTTCTGAGTCAAACTGACAAGATTTCAGTTCTGTCGTCTTATGGCGAGAAAGAGAGAGAAGGGGTGGGAGAGAGAGAGCGAGAGAGAGAGAGGGGGGGGAGACAGAGAGAGAGAGAAAGAGAGAGAGGGAAAGAGAGAGAGAGGGAGAGAGAGAGAAAGAGAGACAGAGAGGGGGGGGAACCAGACGAAGAATAAGAGGGGGAGGTGAAACTAGAGTGATAATAAAGGAGAAGGAGAGTAAGATTGAGAGACAGATAGAGAATGAGAGCGAGGAAGGGGGGGGGGGGGGCAAATAAACTAGTGAGTAAATGTGTACGTCTACCTGGAGAAATACTGGAATAAGTTCTCATACATCCTTAAGCAAAGAACAGACATTACATATTTGTTTTCCACAGAGAAATGCTATAAGAACACGTACCCTTTCCACGTAAACGTGACGTTCAGGCGACCATTTCCACTTGGGAGCCAAGGACTTCTAAGGTATGATGAGCCGGCTGGAGAAAAGAATTACAGCAAGTTTAAAATCATCAAAGCAGACAATCGCCAAGGAACTATACTCGAAGGCGAAATTTATACAGGAGAAAAGATGAAGTAACAAGGACGATGGAAATGTCATCGCATTTTGTTATCTGTCCTATTTTTATAGAATAAAATGTGCATTGTTATTGTTGTTGCTGTTTGTTGTTTTTGTAGCTTTTGTTTTTGTTTTTTTGTGGGGGGTTTTGGGGGGGGGTTGCTTGTATATTTTTTTGTTGGGTTTTTTTTCCCTTGTCTTTAGATGTCCCCACAACTCATACACTCTATTGTTATGGGGTGCTTCACATTCATTGATGCTGTTTATGCTGCGTAGCTCATTATGATTGGAGATCAGAGTTCATGATGCATTTTCATATGACCATCATCATGAAATGTTAGATCTGAAGCAGATATCGGCAATTATGGGTTGCCATCCATTTCCCTGCACGAATGCCCTAACGAAACAACTATATATAGTATCCAGATCTTTCACAGTTACCCGTCTGTTCAAGTTCTCAAAGTAATCTATTTTTGGTCTAAATCTGGTTTTTCCCCTTCTCTGTTCAAGATGTTCAAGGCCTTTAGGTCGATTGAAAGTCCCCGAAACTAAATTTGCTTCTCCCTAATTGTTTACTTTCAGCACGACCTCATTTGATTTCTTTTCCTTACATTTCTGTTACTTGTAGTTGCCCTGCAATCGCGGCCGGATAGAAGGGTTGGCCAAGTACAGACTTTTGTAAACATTATTTTTGTTGCATTTTAGATATCTCTAGTTTTCAGGATAGGTCTAATCTTATAGAAACTGCCATTAGCTATTTCAATATTTCTTTGTATTTCTGTAGTACATTTGTCGTCAGATGTAAAATAGATATCCTAGATATTTAAAGTTTTACTTACTTGACCCAAGAGCTTGCAGGTAGGATGTACTCCACTTTGGTTATTATCGTGTATTCTGATTATTATTGAAACTTTTAAAATGACTCCCAAGAAGTAATCGAAGGTGCTTTTCTCTATCAGCAATTAAAACTGTGTCATCAGCAAATCTGATATTTTATTAATGTTTCTCCATTCACTCTGAGACCATGACCTTCTTATATATATATATATCTAAGGATTTTTTTCAGTGTATTACTGTACGAGACATGTGTTAAAGAGTCTTTTGCCATAACACTCATATCTTACAGGAGCATTTTACTACGGGTATAAACGTCCCATCTAAGTCTGACATTTCCGATATCTTAAAAAGATTATTTTGTCTAACTTTATCAAAGACTTTGAATGACCAATGAAGCATAAAACATAAAATAAGTTCTCCTGTGCATCATTTCCATTAACATTTTAGAGTGAGTATGACATTTCAGGCGCCTTTATCAGGATCAAATGTAAATTGCGTTGTAAATATACCTGGTTTTAAAAACTTTTCTCAATCTGTCCAATAGCCCTTGCAGTAAAAGTTTTAAGAAAGAGCTAATAATGTTCTGTGCAACTCAAACTCGACGGCACCTAGAGATTTAGAAAAAGCTGTAAAGACAGATTTCATCTAATCTTCTGGAATCCCAAAAGTGCCATAGATAAAATTAAAAGCGTTGTTTGCATTTCAATATCCGGGTTCCAACTTGAAAATCACCTGGCCCTGTAGACTTTCTTTGTTTCCTAATCTTAATGACGGTTTGTCGCTTCTCTTTTAGATTCGTTTGTTCAGTTCTTTCTTTCTTTGTTATACGTTTTCACCTCTAGTATCTATAGAATATGTTTCTACCTATTCCGATCAACTGTTTAAAGTTTAAAACATCTGCTTTATCTTAATGTCAATTACCTTTTTTTAGTCTTATGCAGTCTGCATTTGAAGACCCTTTCTTTCCACGTACTTCTCTGATTTTAGAATGCACGCATTAGCTATCTTGGTGTTGTTTTGATTCTTTTCTGTTTCTTGACCCGAATTATGTATCCATGTTTATTTACGTTTTCGTTATTTCCTTATCTATTGAAATGGCTGTATGTTTTATGTTTCGTTTTGACTATGTACTTGTATTATTCAAACGTCAAAAGGTTTTATGGTTTTCCTTCTAATTCAGCTACGATGACTCAGGCACCACCGAAAACACATGTGATGCTCTTTGCTGTTGCTTGGTCAAATAAAATGTCTACACTGTTTGCATGTATTGTTATTCTGGGTGTACAGTAATGTTTTACTCCCTGTTTGGATTGTGACTTCACCTCTCCTAGTTTCTGAAAGACCCAGGATATTTCATTCCATCTTATCAATGTATTTATTATATTTTCTCATTTACTTTTCAGATACATAGTCCATGTGGCTGTTTTAAAAGGTTTAGATTTAGTTTAATTTTGTAGACAGTCACTGGATAACAATTGCGCGCCACCTGCTGTGCATTGATTGCGTTCTACCGAAGACGGAGTTCAAAGCTGGATCATGAACCCCGAAAACAATTTTGTCTGAGAAGTCATAATATGTTCTCGTAATTTCCTGTTGTCAACTGACAGTTTGTGTCCAGTTTTCTCTGCTAGTCTTTACCAATTCAGAAACTACCCATAAAGCACTGGGGACTTTGGTAGAGCTTACGTTTGAGGCACTTGTTGGAACACTTGTGCCTCCAGGGTTCTTCTCTACTCTCCAAAACCATCACCCATTAAATTTTGCGACTGCCAAGCAGATAGAACAGGCCACATACGCACGAGCTAGACGACACCAGCCAGTCAACGGGCCTTGCATTGAGCCTCGGCCTGGGATTATTTATTTTTAACACACACACACAAACACACACACACACACACACACACACACACACACACACACACACACACACA